ATAATATATAGTACTGGGTACACGACTCAGGCGAGTCGGCGACCCCTCGGCAGTACTATTGAACAATTATGTTGCAACATTATCACTCTTTTCAATCACTCAATTTTCTTTTCAATAAATGCTTTCTCAATTAATTTTTTTATTCAGTATTGAAACGTGGCCTTAACTCGCACAAGAGTTACATGTAATTTAATAGGAAAAGAACGCCAAGAATTGGCATTTAGAAGGGAACATCAATATTTTGCGTTCTCAAAAGCATCTCTAGAAAAGTAATGCCCGAATTCGATGTTACTCTTTAGCGTCTTTAGACGCCAACTTAATAACAGTGCAAATTTGACCCAAATAGACGCAATATAACGTTCAACGCGAGCGACTGCTAGCGGCTGCTAGCGGCCACCCCGGGAAAACAGTTGCATATATGTTGTGGTCTGTGGCGGACATCTTGAAACTTCTTCTTGTTCTTCTAATTGCTAAAAGTAGGGTCAGGTGCCCTAATGTGGCCACTGTCCCATTGATGGTCACTTTTCTCGATTTCCAGGCAGTCTGGTCACTTCACAATCTTGGCCTTGAAGTAGTGTTCTAGTAAGGTCCCTTCTTGGGCATATTAACCCAAAGTACTTAAATCGTTGTCTACATTACAAGAAAAAGGGGTGGCGATCAATGGGCAGGCCCATCCTTAAAGTGGCCATCATAGAGCATCTTGCCCTACTCATTAAAATCGTAAAACATTCTGAATAACAAGTAAAATGACGATTAATGTAATTTGGAATCCCCTACGCGGGTGTATGGCCTTCACGAGAGTTAAAGCTACTGAAACCTTACATTACGTATGTATGCTCTTGTTTAGTCTTTGAAAGGTTCTAGCTGTGATGTATCATCGGCTCAAAACGTCCGTTGTTTCAATTTAAATACCGCCTCGCCTGCTTTTAGAAACAGTTTAGCGTGTCATGGCGTATGCCACCCGTTATCGCCGTCCATTCCTCAAGGCAGACTTCTGTTGTGACATTTGCTAAGATCGTCTTCTGGCCCTTTAACTTACCGCCACACAAACCGCCAGGAAGGTAATTACGAAACGTGCCATGCTGCTGCTGCTTTCTCTGGTATTGTAGCGACGCCTCAACACATGCAACCAGCGTATATATATACGCTTAGTATGAGCTCTCTTGGGTCGTGTCGTGATCTTGCTCTCCAACAAAAACAAGAAAACGATGTCACCCTGAAATTAGTTTCGTGATGTCTGAGCTCGGGTGTAATAGCTCGCAGTAATTGGGATACAGTCAAACGACTGTCAGCATGAGTAAAAGTTTGCTTACACTGTAAAACTAGCTATATGTACGCCAGACCACGTCTCGCGTAACAGGCTTCGCGATATCTCACGAAACACTGTTACGCTGTGACGCGCCTGGCGCACATATAGCTAGGCCTGCGGCGCTGACACCCGAGACGGGGTAACAGGGGTGTATATACAATTTTTCGAAATTAAGTCTTTTTAACGATTTAATCGACCATTTGATCATTTTCACCTCATTTTTGTCAAGAAATGCCCCCTACACCTAAACGGTTCAAGATAGAGCCAAACGGACGAAATTTTTGCCCCGAGGGCTCTACTTGGACGGTTTACCCCTTAGGAACCCAAAAAAAAATATTTGATAAATATACATTTTGCGACCTGTAGTTTTTGATTTTTTTAAAAGCTAATTTTTGAGCTAGAATGCTCATCTTCGAACTCGATCTGTCTTTTCATGATACAAAACGACCCTGAAATTCCCAGATCGCTATCTCAATTCCTTCTCGAGTTATCGTGCGGACAGACAGACAGACAAACAAACAAACAAACAGACAGACAGACAGACAGACAAACAGAATGAAACTTTTCCGGTCAGTGGAGTAATGGGCTTCGCTAATCGCTCAGCCAAAAAAATAATCTGAAAATTCAATAGACGTTTTTCAGAATCGGCACTCTGAATCTTGTTTTCAGACCACTACTCCAAATTTTCGAAGTTTAGACTGAAAATCCAGACTTTTTACTCTGAATCAGGTTTTCAGAGCAATTTGCCTGAATATTTTATAGTATATTTTCAGACTAAACACTGAATCTATAATTTAGAGTTACCGGTATGAATTTTGAGTGGAAAGTCCACCGGACAAGCGGACGAAGCACACCAGCCGACGCTGCTCCCCACGCAGGTAGCCGGCAGCCGAATGGTTATGCCCGTACAACACAGATTGTCTTCCACAAGGATGAGTTCATCTACTAGACATCTAGACAAAACTACGCCCGCGTGGTGACCTGCTGTAGCTTTCCGTGAGCCTGTCCGCGGACTAAAGTAAGACATCGCCCATCTATTCTCACGTCGTCGTGGATACAAAAACGCGGTCTCCGGCGCGCCTCCGTGAAGTCGTGAGGAAGTCTACTTTGTCACGCTTTTCAGCCTCCCCTGAGACATAATTTTAATCCTTTCTAGAGCCAGCGTTGAGACAACCCCGCGAGGCCCTTATTGCACTCGTCTAATGCATCACTCAGACAACATCACGACTCCGCAAGGTACACACAATAGCACTCGTTCAGACATCCCCGATCCACGCTCAAGCCAGCGCGGAGCCGGTGTGGAGCCGCCTGCCAGATGTTACTCTGCCCTCCGGGCGCCTGCGCGCAGGCCACCAGGCAGCGCCTGCGCCTGTGGCGGGTAGACATGGGCGCCGACTGGATTTTTATCGGCGGCGGCGTTTGGCCTGAAATTTGTCGGCGGCGGCGGCGCCGCCGGCGTTGACGCCGACGCACCTCTCGGCGGCGGCGGCGGCGGCGTGACCGGCGTCCACAACTAAAATTCCGCTTTCAAATGTTCTGAAAACGACAAATACGCAAATATTGCGCTATTGTTGCATGAGCTTTTTGATATGTAATACACAAACAATGTTTACTGTCCAAAAAAACTTAAAAAGTTGGCAATCTTCTGAAACATTTGGCGAGACGAATTTTTGGCCTACCTACAAGGCGTCTGCCGTTCGATTTCAGTTAAAAATTTGTGCTAAAAAACCCGCGCCGCCGACGACGCCGCCGACCAAATGGCCGGCGGCGGCGCGGCGGCGCGCCGAAAAATTTCTATCGGCGGCGGCGGCGCGTCAAAATTTGTCGGCGGCGGCGTGGCGTCGGCGCGGCGCCCATGTCTAGTGGCGGGTGGGCTGCCTACCCGGGCGCCTTGCTTGGCCGTGTGGCATGGGTTGCCTACTTGGCAGGAGCTCCTGTCCAGCGTGTCGTCCCGGTCGGGTGCAAGGGAGGGCGGCTAGACCCGAAATGTGATTAATAAAATAATTTCCCACATATTTAATCGAAATGAATTAGTGTAGGGTCTGTACTAGAGTCATACACTGTAAAAAAAAGGACACTCTCATTGAATGTCGACCATACTTATAAAATCTGCGATGTAATGAACATCCCCCATTCTCATTTGCACACATACAGACTTCAGTTGCATGATGTCAATAACATAAATTACCTCACTCTCGTTGTAAGTAAAGATCAAGGGAATTGCAATGGTGGGAAATAGAGCTTGAAAGGCAACATTACAGTCAACTCGCTGCACCAGGGCAAAATATTTTGCAGGGCATCTGCATGATATATCAACACAAAGACAATTAGCAACTCTACAAAATAATCGCAATATACGATGATATTGTACATTATTATGGCTATATGCTACATAACAAGATACTTCTTTTAAACCTGGAGGAGGAAAAACGGCCATACTTGAAAAGTGGAGGATTTAAAGAGAGAAAATCCGTCTGTATTCCACATGAAAGTTAAAAATTTCCTATTACCAAGGTCAGTTCTCATGGCCTCTTTGTATATTTCACCATTATAGATATCCTCATATGCATTTTCATTTACTTTTACTATAGTCTGAGGGTACAATAACTGGTTGTCAAAAACCTGGTCTCAACACCATTTGCTTAAGCTGCTCTATGACAGAAATCCGAAAGAAATGGTGTACTCTCTTCCTAGGTCCACATTTCAAACATATGTCATCATTGGAATGCAACGGCCCCATACAAAACGAGCAAAAGAAGAACTTCTGATTGGAAATATACCTCTACACATCAAAATATTTAAAGAAAGTATAGGCAGATGTAACCATGTTGCAAGCTTTAGGAAGAAAAAGTTTTAGTGAGGCCAGCAGATCATTAACACAGCGTTTAGATAGCTGATAAGTCAGAACAAAAGTTAACAGTGTCAACATAAATTCACTCGAAGGAGATGTGCTAGAGACTTGAAATTTTCAGGGTATCTTAAGGTCCACTCCTAGAGAACGAAACGCCTACGGCAAATCCTGGCAACCACCCCTAAGGGTGTGAATGGGGGTATCCAAGGTTCAAAATTTCTCCCAAAAAGTTTTTTTTTCATTTTCCTAAGGGGTAACTCGTCAAAGTAGAGCCCTTGGGCGGCAATTTCGTTTTGCTCAATCTCTAGCCGTTTAGGCGCTAGAGGGTCTTTTTAGCAGATGATACTTCCAGTATCATTGCTTGTACAACAGCTATATGGGTAGCGTTCACGATGGCCAAGGTCTAGTATTGTCAACAATACTGGGCCATCGCACATTTAAATAATATTATTAGGAGGAGGGGGGCCAGATGGTCACTGAGGCCCAGTGTTGTCAACAATACTGAGCAATGCCCAGTGTTGTCAACAATACTGAGCCAAGGCCCAGTATTTTCAGCAATACTGAGCCAAGGCCCAGTATTGTCAACAATACTGGGCCTTCACCCTTTTAAATTATATTATTAGGTAAAAATCCAAGTTCGTAAGAATCTTAAACAGGGTGTCAAAACAAGCCCCTCCAGTGATTTTGTGATTTTTACCCAGCTTAGTTATTTTTTGGGTGGTGAAAGTCGGAAAAAATCCTGGCCAGGAAATTTTCCTGGCCAACTTTAGGCCGGTCCAAAGATGTTCAGCGTATGAAAAGAATGCTTCGTTTGTTGACTTTCGATTACGAAGTCGACAGCAAAGGTACCGGTCAAAAACTTAGTTCAAAGCGAGCCGTCACTCAAACGGTCTGAAAGACGGTACACCATGAAAATTCAAGCCGCCGGCTGGCCAAGCTAGGCCCGCTCCCTGCCGAACCGAGTTGCCGGTGTAGCAAATCGGAGCTGGCAACTTGGTTTGGCGGAGGAGCGGGCCTAGCTTGGTTGAAGCTTTTTGTAGCCCGCCCTTCTGCTTTGAAGAAGCTATCCAGTTGGCTTATGCAAACACAAAATGTGCTAGGTACTTCAAATTTTCAGGGGATCTCAAGGTTCACTCCCAGAAAACAAAACACCTCCCGTGATAAAATGGTCCTGTGCACAACACGTGCGAACCGCGTGCACATCGCGTGCAAACCACGTGCAAACCGCGTGCACAACGCGTGCACAAACATTCTGTGCACAACTAGCTTGTGCACAAGATCGGCCCCCCTGCAGCAGGCACGGCGGCAGAGGTGCAGGTATGTCCAAGTGCGCATCGCGAGCAAAAGGCGTACCTATCCATTGTCCAAGGTTCTGGCTACAGTTTCAATTTTTTCTTATTTTTTTTCTTTCTTCCCGACTTTTTCTGAATTTTTTCCAATTTTTTCTGATTTTTCACGATTTTTCCCGCGGATTTTGGAGAGATCCTGGTTTTTGTCGATTTTGCTCGATTTTGCCTGATTTTGCCCGATTCTGGCCGATTTTCGCCAATTCTTCACGAAATCGGCGCGAAAAAATCAGAAAAAATCATAAAAAATTGAAACCGTAGCCAGAACCGTGGACAATGGATAGGTACGCCTTGTG